ATTACCTCATATAAAAAGGAAAAGTTTATAATCACAATTGAAGGAGAACTTTTGTTACATTTTCACTGAGTTGTAATAGGTTTAAGTCTGGCGACAGCAAAGTTCTCACTTTAGTGTAAACAAACGGAATTAAAATTTTGGCGGAAAAGGCGATGCTATTGCAAAACTGTATTGTTTATTACTTACTGAATGATTATGTCACATTTCAATGTTCGAATTAATGAAAACATGGTATTTATTTATAAATGTAAGAATGATTTGAAGTTCGTGTTATTCAGATATTGCGAAATGATGTAACTGAATCTTATTATTTCCACATAAATATAAAGAATAGGTCTGCTAAAATTCATTGCTATTCAAATGATGAGTTGCAAAATCACTAAAGACTTTAATGACGTGTAAGTTGAAATATAGAGGTTTAATAATATGCCTGATCAAAATGCATATAGCGCCAAGTTTCTCAAATAATTTTGAATTTTTTATAGTTTTCGCGTTAAATCGAGTTATCTGTTAAAATAATTGCCCAATACAAAAATGATAGTTTCTTCGAAAACGTGCCATTACATTTCAAGCATCAAACGAAATAAATTCTTGCTGCGAAGAATTTGCTATTTAAAATAATCTGTTAAGAAAAGTATAAAAATGGAAACAGGAGTTCTACAGAACAGTATTAATTTGATACGTGCTTTTTGAACTGTCGGCAGTAATTACAAATATTAAAAATATTGACAAGATCTAAGTATTATTAGCAAAATGCATATATATTTTATAAATAAAATAATTTACTTATTCCAAATATTACCAATGTTTTCTTGATAATATCATGAATGAAATATCGATTCTCGAGGTCATGTGTGAATAGCCTATAACAGAACATGCGGTTTTCGACGAGTGTGTCGGCAGCTAAGGTTTGTTTTATCAATTTATAGTCATCGTCTTCTTTTTTCAAGAAAATTTCTGCTATAGTTACTGGTGGAGCATCGGGCCTTGGATTTGCTACTGTGAAGAAATTTTTAGAACAAGGTGGAAAAGTTCTTGTCTGTGATATTAAAAAAGCTGACGAAATTACTAAACTTCAAGATGACATAGTGTTTTGCGAAACAGATGTAAATACTCGGTTAATCATTTATTTAAACGTTCTCAGGTTACATCAGAATCTGCAGTCAAGCATGCCATTGATCTTGCTGTATCTAAGTTTTCCTTCATTAATTGTGTTGTCAATTGCGCTGGCATTGGTATAACTCGTAAAACGGTCTCAAATTCTACCAATAGCTCACATAGTCTAGATGAGTTCGAAAGGGTTATGAAAGTAATATGGAAGATTGATTAATCTTAACTTTAGGTCAACGCTCTCGGAACCTTTAACGTAATTCGGCTTGCCGCTCTTTCAATGACAAATAACGAACCAGATGAAGATGGTGAACGAGGGGTAATAATAAATACCGCAAGCACATCGGCATTCGAAGGACAAGTTGGTCAAGTCGCCTATGCGGCAAGCAAAGCCGCTGTAGTGGGAATGACTCTGCCTATTGCAAGGGATTTGTCTCGGCATAGTATTCGATGCGTTACGATCGCTCCAGGTAATTCAAATATCTTAACTGTTTGATGATCAAACTTATACACAAACTTCGGTTTATATTGGCTCAATGTTGTATGCATATCTTTCATTCTACGAAATGTACGGGTATGTACATTTTATACCTTGAATGAGTTATGGTCTGTAAACATCAGGATTTTTGTTAATACTCTAAAATCTGATCATGCGTTGACGTTGACTTGGATGTTGACATCTTCAAGTAGATTAGTCTTCAAAATTTTGCTATCAGTTCCACCCTCTTTTCGTGTAACTTTTCGTGTCATGACTTGGTGAGAGTGTGATCCTAAAAATAACTATTCCACAACATTTGATTTTATATATAGTTTTGTCAGTCTTTATTCTAAAGTAGCTCGCAATCTGGCTCTCAAATTCCGAGTAAGGATGAGTTTTTACGTATTTTAAGTTTCTATTAGCGGATAACTATGCATGTCTTTAATTTAGGGTTAATAGAGAGCACACTGCTCTTCGGTGATCGACAAGTTCAGCCCGATGTACTGGAATATATTAATGACATCCAGTTGGCTATTGGTCGTCAAGGTTATCCAAGCGAGTTTGCTGATGCTGTAGTTGGTTGTTTGCACAATAAGATGTTCAACGGAGTCACGCTTCGATTGGATGCTGGTGGTAGATTAATCCACATGTAATTGCTACTCCTGTCTTCTCCCTAACTTGCAGGTATCTTCGATACTGCATCGTCAACGGGAATAACAAAGACACCTAAAGGCGCCATTAACCACCTTGTAAAGTGTACCCCCTTCCCCAACCGTCTTGGCCGTCCAGAGGAATTCGCGCACCTTGTTAGATGTATCCTAAACAATAAATTTCTCAATGGAACCACAATTCGTCTGGATGGAGCACTCAGATTGGGGCCTTAACGCCCCACCCTCTTTTTCCCCTTTGGTCGTCAATTTGTATAAAGTCAATTTATGTTAAATTTACTTATTAATATCTGTGCCTGTTTTATTTACATAAGAAAAGATTGCGGAAGGCGTAGGAGGATAATGTTAGCAATCGTGTGGATAAATGAGAGGCATTTGGTATGATTTGGACATTAAGAAATTATATCATAGAAATGAGAGCTGAGCTGCAACTAATCTCGTCAATCAAGCGATGCCTAGCGAAACCCCTTATAAAATATCGAGAGCTTTCTAGACGATCGGGAGCATGAAAGGTCTGGAGTATTAGGGCTTGCAAGAGAATGGGATATGTGGTAGCAGAGAGTATGTAAAAATAGGGTGGTGCTTACAGAAACACACGGGAAGATAAGTGGAGTTTAGCGTTTAACATCCTTTGTTTGACTGCTGCGTATAAATGCATTAATATAGGGATACATTTGTATACTACTGGCTTTTGATCGAATAAGTAAACATTGAATAACTTTGATAAGAAGTTAATTTGTTGCTTTGATTTTTGCCATAACGCGCAAACACGAAAATCCATATATATTTATTTATAACAAATGGCAGGCGTTTTGATAGTTATCATTAGCCCTTTAGTTGACTTCAGGCTTCACAGAGGGAAGGAGGAGGAATATCAAAGTGAGAATTCGGGAGGGGGAATAGAAGAGTGATCCATAGATGTAAAAGAAACGGACAAACACAAAGGCTCAGAAAGGGTAAGATGAGTAATGTGGTAGGGGTCGAATATGACGTCAGTGGGGGTGATGGTTGTTTAAAGTGAGAAGTCAACTGCCAGTTAATAGACTTTTTTAGCCGTATGATTACACGTTGCCCAGGGTGCACCACGAGGAGGAAAGTCTATCCCACAACCCAATTCATATATATATATATGTACCTATCACATTTATAGTTGGTGTTACAAAAATGCTCCTTAGTTGGATAAGGAAATGATTTAATAATTGGTAAATCAATTTAGAAAAAAATGATGCATAGTACGATTATTTGAAGGGTCGCAATTCTATTATAGAATTCGTGGCCCTTATAGCAACTGACGGTCTTAGCATGATCTGATTAATTTTATAAGTCTTCAAGTACTCTCTATACGATAATTATTAGAAAATTAGAATGAATACCCGATCAAGGCAAATAAAGAAGTCCGAGGTGAAGTTCTCAAAGGTGGTTATCCTTTGGCTGTTAATTTGAGAGTGCTATGAAATATAGTACACCGTGCCAATGTATTAATGACATGCTGTTTCTCCGCTTATTTCACAAAGAAAAGATAAAATGGTCTATATGTCTTATTGCCATACTATTTCTTCGAAATTGAGGCTGGAGATTTAAGAAGATATGCGCCTTTTTGAATTCATAAAATCTATTTATTTATATCAAATTACAGGCTTTATAATATTTATCGTTAGACACAGTCTATAGAATATTTCTTAGCATTTTCACTGGTTATTATATTTGTTACGATAGTCAGAACTAAAGGAACAAAGTATTCGCCTTATAAAATAAACTGATACAGGCAAAAATTACATTAATTAAGCTAATACTGTTTATAATTAACACTTTAATGAATACTGAAAATTACAGCCCTGTAAGGTTTCATGCAAAATTGAAAAATATTCAATGCATGAAATTTTTCTATTGATATCGAATCTTTAAACACTTTCTTCGATTTTCAGGATAAACTAAGTTAATTAGAACTAGGAATTAGCCTTTACCGAATAAAACCTAGCATTATTTTAACGTATCAATTGGCTTGCACGGGGACTATTCATTATCGACTTCTGAGTTATAACTGCATTGCCGCAGATTCGAACATTTGTCCTGTCAAAATGAAACTCAATGTAAGTGCCAAAACATAGTCATGGGTCTAAATCGTATTAAATAATTATAAAATATTTTTTTAAATTTAGGACATCTGCGCTATTGTTACTGGAGGTGCTTCAGGATTGGGTTTCGAAACGACGAAAATGTTACTAAGCCACGGTGCCAAAGTTATCATTTTCGATATCAAATGCTCTTGTGGTGTTTCCGAACTTAAAGGAAATGTATTCTTTTCAGAAACTGACGTAAAATTGACCATTTTGTCTTTACCTTCTCTTAGGTTACCTCAGATGAATCTGTTTGTAAGGGAATTGAACTAGCTATGCAAAAATTTGGCAAAATTAACTGTGTTATCAATTGTGCCGGTATTTTTACCAAACACAACCTTATTGATGTTTCGGAAGGGAGGCCTCATGATCTATGCCTTTTCGAACGTGTCATGAAGGTAGACACCATTCACCCCTCTATATTAAATCCTCTGCATTATAGATAAACGTTACTGGAACATTCAATGTCATACGTCTTGCTGCTTTGTCTATGGTGAAGAGCGATCCAGAAGAGGATGGAGAACGCGGTGTTATAATAAACACTTCAAGTGTCACTGCTTTTCAAGGGGTAGCGGGTGTGACCGCCTATTCAGCCAGCAAGGCTGCCATTATCGGAATGACTCTTCCAGTTGCAAGGGAACTGGCTCAATACGGAATACGCTGTGTCACCATATCACCAGGTGCCTTTAGGACTGAAATGACCGAAAGCGGCTCCGGTGAAACCATGGCGAAAGTAAAGAAACTAGTACCATTTCCATGTCGATTGGGTGAACCCGAGGAATTTGCTAATCTTGTCAAGTCAATACTTGAAAATAGAATGATCAATGGAACGACAATCGCCATTGATGGTGCTTTGCGTTTAGCTTGACTTTACCGACGGATTCTTGAATTTTTCCCTTTTTTCATCTTTCATTCCTTATTGACTTAATCTTGTATTGATATTGAATTAATTCCCAAGAAAACCAGATGACGTATTTTCATTAAGTACCATTTAAATTATTACCAATTGGTGCTGTTTTATGTTATCTATTTAATCTATACTTTGGAGACTGAAAAAAGATAAAAACTGTGAAATCCATTGTGCTACCCTAGGTGATCGAAGCAGTCTCGTGAGTGCTAAAACACATTGGAAGGTGCACTCGCGTCACTTATCGGTTATCAAGCTTACTTGAAGAGGCCTCTCAGCTAATCACCTTTCAATATCCTTTGCAACGTAGCTTAACTAAATTCGCAAGTAGCTCCTGTGTTCTCTTTCCTATTGAAGTTGCTTAACTAGTTTTTGGAACGATTTTCCACTAGAGGACTTCGTTACAGGTTAGCACAATTGATCCGCAGTTTGTTGGACTTGCAATATGGGAGCTAAAGTTTAGTTCATGGCTTTTTTGTGAAGTATCCGTTACCCAAGTGATGACTCTGACGTAAGACCCTCAGCCTTAAGTAGTCCTTCCCTCTGGGGTTGCGTTTTTTCTCTGAGCAGAACATTTGGTGATCCTTCTCTGGCAGCGTACAGCAGTTCCTGCTCTCTGCAAAAATATCATAATGAAATTGTAACTATTCGAATAGTAAAGTGACTGATTTTGTGGCGTATATTTCAAGGGTTGTTTCAATAAATCTATAACAATGATACTTATTTCAGGAATGCAAGAAATCAGGGTTTCAGAGCTCTAATATGCGGTAACAATTTTTATGACTTATTAATGAATAAGTAAAAAAGGGAATATACTTTTCTTAAAATACAAAAAACTTAGATTCAACGGAAAGGGGCTAGTTAACACCTGTTTTTAATAGATTTGACCTAATTATGCACCATCTCTTTGGTGATAACTTCCGTAAAATCTATTAAAAACAGGTGATAACTAGCCCCTTTCCGTTGAATCTAAGTTTTTTGTATTTTAAGAAAAGTATATTCCCTTTTTTACTTATTCATTAATAAGTCATAAAAATTGTTACCGCATATTAGAGCTCTGAAACCCTGATTTCTTGCATTCCTGAAATAAGTATCATTGTTATAGATTTATTGAAACAACCCTTGAAATATACGCCACAAAATCAGTCACTTTACTATTCGAATAGTTACAATTTCAAACTGCGAATAGGTTATAAACTATTTGCATCTCAAAATTGAAGGTGCTGTAGTATAAACGAAAAGTTGCCTAAGACGGGTAATTGTATGCTGTTGAGTTGAGGAGCTATTATGATGCTGAATAAGAAAATGATTGAAGGCTAAAGGAATAATTTATTGCATCAGAAAAAAACTTTAATACACACACACACCAAGCACTGTATGTCATAAAAATGCACCGAAATTTGATTTTACAGCCGGGATCCTCAAAGATAACCTTCCCATCTCATTAGTTGATGTAATTATAAAGTAAGCCCCTAGATATGACAGCGATTTGCAAGAATAAAAGGAGTAAGCGTATAAGCATGGACTGCAATACATTTGATTTAAATCTTTTATATTTAATCGAAAAAAACAATATTTACTAATCTAACCTCAACTATGTACAGCGTTTTCAATATTACTTCATATTATGAAGGAGGAAGATACTATTTTGACCGTTAAGGCGCCTAAGCCAATGTACATATTGAATTCAAAAGATTTATTTATTTCAAATGCCAGGCGTTTTGATAGTTAACATTAGCCCTTTAGTTGACTTCGAGGCTACACATCGAGGAGGAACATCAAAGTGACAAAAAGTGGAGGGGGGGGGGACAGGAGCGTGATTCGCAGATGTAAAAGAGACAAATAGACACAAAAGTAGAGAAAAAGGGTAAGATGAGCACTAGTTGAGTGATTGAATATGACAATCAGTGGGGTCATGGTGGTTTAAAGTCAGAAGTCAACTGCCGGTTTATAGACTTTTCAAAGATAGTAACCAGGTTTTGCAGCTATTGGGAATTCAAGAACCTTGGGTCCCTAGGATGTTATGCCTTTCAGGCTAAAAAATGGTAACTTAAATTCGGTAAAGAAGATTGAATCAAGGTTATATTAGAACACATAGCTCAATATATATCCATGCTGAAAATTTTCAAATTAATATCCTGTGAGAAAAGGAATCAGGATAAGTTTATCTGGACTTATGGAGTCTGCGATGGGCTCATCTCTACATAGTGCACCCCGGGCAACTTATACTCATAGTCCATTAACCAGCAGTTAACTTTTGAACTTGAACTACCTTGACCCGACTGCATGTCATATTCCACCAATTCCAAAGTACTCATCTTACCTTTTTTCTTTACCTTTGTTTCTGTCTGTCTTTTTCACATCTGAGCATCACTCTGTTGTTCCTTCTCCCAAACTATTGTGACTTTGATGACCTTCCCCTCTGTAAAGCCTGAAGTTAACAAATGAGCTAATGATAACTCTTCTAAAGTCTAACAATGTTAGATAGAAATAGGCATACAGATCTGTGGAAGGTGGTCCCAGAAACCATGATGAAGCGATCCCCTCTTCAGACTAGCTACTTCCGTCACCAGGTAGCACTGGATTGTAGATGTAAATGTCTAGTTAATTCAATCTGTGTTTATTTTGGTCAGCCCATTGGTTGATTTAGTCTTCCTGTAATTCCCTAATAGCCGACAAATTATTGGATCACTTTAACATTTTAACATTTAATCTCAAGCTCTATTTGCAATAAAATGCTTTTAATTTTATTTACTATTAACAACAGATGGAAGATTTTTATTTCCTTTAAATTGGCCGTATTAAACATATATTAACATGTGGGACACGTCATCGCATGCGTGTTCACATAGGCTTGAGGTGCGGCCGTACAACTTCGCGTACTGATTGAGGACAAGAGCACGCAGCCAATAGCAGCTCAATGACCCTCACTTGTTTTATCTAATCCGCCATTTTGTATGACTGAGTTTCCTTCCTGTATACACGTCCTGCGTGGTTTATCTACTGAATAAACGTATTCTCGTAATACGTCTGTTTCTTGCGCGTTACCACATTAGAGGTTTCTGAGTTCAGTCAAGGCGTTAGTAAAGTAGTAATCCGCTACAAACATTTAAAATATTATTTTTATGTTAATGCATTCATTTGTGGGACACGTCATCGCATGCGTGTACACAGGCTTGAGGTGCGGCCGTACAATTTCGCGTACGGACTGAGGACAAGAGCACGCAGCCAATAGCAGCTCAATGTCCCCTTTTTGTTTTACCGAAAGCCGCCATGTTGTATGACTGGGTTCCCTTCCTGTACACACTTCTTGCGTGGCATATCTACTGAATAAACGTGCTCCGTGCTAAACGTCTGTTTCCTTCATAGCTGGGCTATAGCTTAGCTGGTTCTGGGAGTCTAGCTAGGTGTTGGAGAATTTGCCATAGAGATTTCTGAGTCAGTCAGGCTTTACTAAGGTAGCAATCCGCTACACATTATATATGCACGAACCTAAAAATAAGAATAATGGCAGTTTTCATATCTAAGTTATAGATAGATAGGTAATAAATCTCACGATTTACGCACCCAAATTTAAATGTGCTTGATCTTTGAATTTCGACCTTCATATGTGTCATATATATTATTACACTTATCAAACCTTCAGGAGAGAGGAAATACATCAATTTTTTCTGAACCATCTAGCAGAAATTTCAATAAATTGTGGGGGGGGGGAGTCTCGAAAATGCAATTATTTTATTCTAGATTATAGTGGACACCACACAAAAATGAGCCTTGACAAAAAATTTCGATTATCCTTTCGGGTGAAATTCCTCAGAATAAAGTTGATCAGTATTGGGCTCAGTAACCACATAAGTATTGAGAAAAAACAACCTTATGGAAAAAGATGTTTTTATATCAGCTTATGGGTCACCAATGCAAATCCTAGTCATTAAAATACTATTAAGATCAAGTAAACAATGCAGCGTCTAATGATTGCTGGCTGACTGGGGGGTCTCTGTGATTACAACTGCGCTCAAAATGAGCAATTCTGAACTATTCGAGTGTGAATGAGATGTCTTTGTTCACCTATCTCAATATTGTGCACTTTAAATTAAAATTTCATGATTTCTGGCCTGGAGTTCTGATTGAATATCTATGCATGAATTTCAGTATTTATTGACCTATTGTTCAAATTTGATTATCTGTCTTGTCACCTTAATTGACCTTTTCCTTCAGGATTGAGAAAGTAGATTGAACACATATAATAGCAAACAGCTTCTTGATTTATTGCAATTGAGTAAGTCTGAAATAAGAAAATTAAAATTTTGGATTTTTGAGGTGACATGTTGGCCTATGGGCACTGAAATTGAATTATTTATTTATATCACATGAGAGGTGCTTTGATAGTTATCATTAGGAACATCAAAGTGAGAAAAGTAGAGAGATGAAGAGAAGAGTGATTCACAGTAGTAAAAGGGGCAGAAAGACACAAAGGTAGAGAAAAAGATAGGGTGAGTACCGTAGAAGTGGTGGAATATGACATACAGAAATCAACTACCGGTTTATAGACTCTTTTGTTGCATGAGTATACGTTGCCCAGGCTGTACCACATGGAGGTAAGTCTTTCGCGCGCCCNACACACACACACACACACACACACACACACACACACACACACACACACATATATATATATATATATATATATGTTTATATTTATATCGGTAGATATATTGGAACAAGCTACTCATGTTCGCACGCCCTTCATGATGCAAAAGAATTGCTGCGAATTGCTCCAAAATATTCACAGGCTTTCTAGACAACATGTTGTAGGCAAATTGCCTGATATGGATAAAAGAAGCGTTCCATTATCAGTGTACGTCGGTGGTGCTTTGATCATCGTGTTTGTCCGCCAAGTCGGCGCAGGTCCAGAATGAGCAATGGCCATTGTGCTGGTTGGGGTTTTAACTATTTTAGAG